GAAATGAAGGGAAAAGGAAAACCAACAACCACAAAGCCTGGGCCGTACAGGAGGCCCAACTCAACCTTGGGGGTTTCAATCGCTTCACGCCATACCGTCACCGAAACCCGCATGACGACGTCTCGTCGTCACACCCAATGAATTCTCGTTAGCGGCGCGAACATGACCCCGCGGAAGTCCCCCCGCGCCTCCAAGACCTCTCGTAGTTTGACGAGGCAATCTATGATTATCTTCACCTCTCCAGGCAGGCTGGGAGGCACCAAGCATGTCGCTCTTGTTATGTGATATTAGTAAAGAATGGGTAAAACTCGCCCCACCCCACGCCGTATTTCCCACCGACAAATGTGGAACAGAATAACTTCCCACGAGCCGTCGAGGTGCTGATCGGACGCTGCGTTTATTCCCCGTCTCAGCTTGAGGCCGCCTCCTTGTCGTTCGTGGCATCCTTCCCTGTGAAGCGGTAGCAGTCAATGGGGAACGTTCTGTTACGTTCACGCCACCGTATGTTCCTCTTCGCGGAGATAGTAGCTCTTGATCGTTATGACAAATGGTGTACCTCTGAGCTTGGTGCCCGGCCATGCCCTTTTCGTCGGACAAAGCCGCTTCCTTATTACTAGACAAATAAAAGGTGGGAATCGACTGCTCCTCACTAACGTTACTCATTTCAGGTTCTGCTGTTAAAATACATTCACTTTCCGGGTTTCGGGGCGATAAAACAGATGCGATTACCCTCCTCGGAAGCTCAGGCCGCCGTGCTATGGGGGAAGGGCTCTTGCGAGAGGTCGTCGTATCACTATACATCCAATCGTCACTCTGGGGGGTGAGCCCCTTCGTTGTCGAGGGCATACAATTTGGAAAACTAGATGCCCCCTGCGCTGTGAGCTGGGAATTCGGTGATGCAGTTCCTGTGTCTAGTAAGGGAGACTTCGCACGTTTGCTCGCCAGCGTTGCTGATCGCATCAACATGGAGAGAAGCGCCTCACGCCGCATCTGTATTGCGTCTTCTTCAATTTGTCGATTTCGCCCATGACGCTGCAAGCCTATACTTAATGTTTCCGTGACGGCATCCAATATGGCGTCCTTCCTTCCGACAAACTGTTTCCTGCTCTCCTCCGTCTCTAGAGTGACGTTCCTGAGGAGCTTGCTCGGGTAAAACACCTCCATGAGCTTGACACGTCGCCGGGGGACTTCCACGTCATCTAATTCCGCCTCGTCGCGGAAAAGCACGCTGCGGCTGCATTCTTTTTTCGTTCCCTCACCGCGAAAATTCTGGAGGAGGCTTTGCTCTTCGTGCAGTTTTCGCCTATGCAAGGCAACCTTGTCTACTAACTCATCCCGGCCATCAGCAGTAGCAGCTGCCGCAGCATTGGTTTCAAGTACGGATTTTGTTGGATGGGTTTGCCTCCCAACGTGGGTGGCGCTGTGATGTGTTCTGGGGCCATGCCCCACGCCAGCCACAGTTCCCTTGCGAATACGTTCGATCGTCTCGTTGATGCGCATCTCCACAACGTCCCGCTGCAGCACCTTCCCGTCCCGGTCGCACGAGACACCTAGTTTTGCAAAGGCGGAGTACAACAGCCATTCCAAGTCTCCGACGACATCCTCGTGCGTCGTAGGCGCAGCCTTCTCCGCAAGTAGCTGCCAGTCACCAATCACCCAGCGCGAGGGGTGGTCCATCTCAACGGCGCCAGAGCGAACAGTGAGCTGCCGCAGAAGGGCGTTCAGTGTCAAATTGCGATGGGGTGGCAATCGCACACTCTCCCGCGCGTACTCCTCAACGCAGCTAAGGATATCACTGAAGTCCGCGTCCTCCAACAGCCGACAGCCGGCTCGAATCATGTCGCCCAAGGAAAGGCCCCCAAACGATGACACAGAGACAACGAAATACTCTTTGCTAGACGCTAGTTCCTGCACATATGCATCAATGGGGAGTGAGGCACACGGCGGCACGTTCCATTGCTGAGAGGCCGCAGTTAGTGCGTCTAATCGCTGCTGCTGCGCTGCCAAAAAGCTATCAAAGTCCATCTGCGACGCCGAGACGTTCAAAGGAATACAGCGCACCTCGTACATGCATCCTGTAAATTTGTCCTGGGCACTATACCGGGCCCCGTTGTCGCTCTCCTCAGCATCGCTTATGCAGCTGTAGAGTGTGAGCACCGGAAAGAGCTCCGCTTTCTCGCGCAACTGCGCCAGCGAGAGCGACGAAGACGGCATGTGTCCCACGATGGAACTGGTGGAAGGACCCAACATCAAAGGAATCAAATAAGCAAAGAAAAAGAAAAACAGAAAAGGCGCACTGAATCAAAAAAAAAAAGAACACAGTTCAAAGCAAAATGGTGAGCAATACAGCAGCAGGGAGGCGGAGAGTGAGATAAACAAAAAAGAGGGGGTGCAACAGCACAAGCAGCAGTAGTAATTTCGGTGGTGAGGGTGACAATAGCTGCCGCAGAGACAACTACGAAGGAGTGGGAGTGAACTTGCGAGCGAACCTCCCAAACACATCCGGGGGAGAAAAAAAAAGGACAAGAGCCTCAGAACCCACACTCACATAAAAAAAAAATAAGTGTTTCAAGCGTCACTCCATCTTTTTTTGCTCTTTATGCATCCATGTTTGTGTGTGTGTGTGCGTGTATGCGCGTGTGTGCGCTTCTCCACCTAAATGCACATCCGCCTCGGAAATGAAAGCGCAGCGCAAGGAATCAGTTGCAAGCTACACAAACAGGGAGGCGGCAATCAAGGCAGTTTACAAAGTCGTGATGCTACACACGCATACTGATAGATAGAGATAAAAAAAAAGGGAAGGGAAAGTGGAAAATAAATGCTGGACGCGATCGCAACTACCGTCGGCCTCCCCAGAAACTAAGAAGATGAAAAAAGAAGTTAAGTGGCACACAAACCGCCATTTAACACTACAGTTCCGCTGCTGGACAAAATAAAAAAAGAAACTACCTACACACACGCACACACATACACACACACATACAGCGATGGAAAGGGGACAACAACAACAACAACAAAAATATGGACTGGCAGACCTCATTTTATAACACATGACAAAACAGTCCAAAGCTGCTGCATTCCAGAGCAAAACGAGAGGAAAAAACAAACAAACAATGAGAGCTTGAACGTGCAGAGGCGTGATTCACTCCGTGTCGAGTTTATCCCAATCAGGGACAGAAAGTGTCTCATGCGGAAAAACATGTCTGGACGCAACGAGTGCAATGTCTGTTCCAGCCTCACTGAAGGTGACACGACAATTCGCCTCTGACGCCTCCACATGACGGACTGCCCCCATAAGTTTTGGAAGATAATATATTCTACTGTCAGACCGAGGCACGTGTACGGCGATGGCAAACGCGCACACGTACTCATACAACGCATAAAATAATGCAGCTGGGTACCTTTGCTTGTCGCTATCTGAGAAGAAGGCGGTAATGGTGTTATACAATACATACATCTTCTCCCGGACACCGGAACTGAGCCGGTCTGTTGGAAGCGGGTACACGCCTAGGTGTTGAAGCGCAGCTTTGAGCGGCAAAAGCCCTGTCGTATCCGACCCACCGCTGCGAGAACTATCCTCAAAAGAGATACTGGAAGTACTACTGACATCATTGCGACGTCGCGTCTGACGGCGCTTAGACGCAAGCCTTTCATGGGTGACGCATATCATCAAGAAGAGACGCGTGGTCATGTAGGTCATATCTAAAGGCAACTCATTGGCTGTTTGTGCGAGGGTGCAAGAGATGAGGTCCCGTGCACGCTCCAAAGCCACGCGATGACGACCGAGTTCCATAACGAAAAAAAGCGACGACCGCTGCTGACACTCCGCACTACAGTAACGGGCCAATTCCTCGGAGGGATTCCCCTCTAAATCGACAGGAACCCGCATCATTTGTCCTCCAGGCTTCAGGCACACACAACATCTATTGGAAGGAGCTGCAAAGATTGACTCCATCGCCAAAATTACATGATCCCCTTTAAACACCACCTCATCCTTTTTAAATGGGCGAAATGAGAGTAATTTTTTGGTGTACTGGGCGTCCAAATAGAGACCCAAGTAGTGGCGCGGTAACTCCAATTGCAAATTTAGCATAAAGGAGTTAAGTTCCTCAATTTTGCGCAGTTCATGACTATGTGGTAGGAGCAACCTGGCACGGTTAATTTGCCGCGCAGCCTCCTCAAATTTGCCTAGCCCACTCAAGGCCCGGGCAGCCGCCAGGTTCCCTTTCACCCAGCGTGGTTCTTCTTCAATCGCCCTCATTGCGTCCTTGAGCGCCTCTGTAAAGCGTCCCAGAAAGGCATTTGCGCGCGAACGCAGAACTAAGCAATCTACTCGGTTGAATACGTTCGACGGCAACTTGCTCAATAGCGTCAGCGCCGCTTCGTATGCACCCTCGTTAAGGTTTTCCAGCACCACGGCCAGCTGGGGCGTGGATTGCGGCACCTGAATTTCCATCACTGAGAGGGATTCATAAAATTGCCGATTAATCTTCAAAGCTTCGGCCTCCTCGCGAAAACGCCCTACCCGCGGGTCAAGATTGCCAATGCCAAAACAAGACTCAGCAAACCGATTGCTTCCACCCAGTGAACGGTCGTACGCCTTAATCGGTTCCTTCGACAGGCAAACACGCGGGAGACTCAGGCCATAGCTCATCTCAAGATGATCATCGTAAAACGAGACAAGCGTCACGTTATCAGAGTGCCGAACTACGGTGCCACGAAGTCTGCCATTACACACCGCGCCGTATGAGTCATCCCAGTACTCCCGTAACAAAAGGCGAACGTCATCCTCGTCCACCACCCACACATGACAGCCAGCCGGAAGGCTCTCAGGTGACAGTTGTGGCAGTTCCGGCTTCTGCCTCACCGTCAAGGAGACAACAGGCTCGGGAAGGTAGAGCTGCTTCCCGTCTTCTTCATCCACTAGATCACCCTCCTCCTCATCGCCTAGGATGCCGTTGATACAAAAGTTCTCCTTTACAGTTCCCCATTCAGATTCATCAGAAGAGCTGTCATGCCCACTGCCAGGCACTTCCGCTTCCTCTTCCTCATAGCTCCAACACGGATCGCCGGCCGGCATTCCCTGCATGACTTCCTGCACTAAACACTAATACTACCTTCACAACCTCGCTTTTTTTCTCTCCAGAAGAAGCCAAGAAAAAAAAAACTTCGTAAAAACAGAAACAAAAAAACAAGACAATCCGGTCCTATGTTCCACGCCAAAATCCTTGACCACTCCCCTCCCCACCCTCTCCCTGTATCACCTATCTCCTCTCCTTCTCCTTGTTTCCGCTTTATTGCTACCGTAAGGGAAGCACCAATATATGAAACCCAAGAGGAACCCTGAGCGCACATTGTGAAGAAAAAGAAAAGTAGAGACAGGAAATATAAAATAAAAAAATCACAAGAAAGACGTGCGGAGATGCCCAAAATCACGGCCCAGCAGTAACAGATGGAGCGACACCAGCAGTGTGGCAAAAAGAAAAAAAAACACACACACAGACACAGACAGGCCGCTATATATATATATATATATAAATGAGGCAGCACTATCCGCCTGAAATCACGTAAAAATGCTCTCGCGGCGGTCGCACCCCCCTAAATAGCTTTTCAGGCGTGGGTGGTACAACAGGATCCGTTTCCTGTTTATTTTGACTGGCAGCTAGAAAAAGTATAGCAGCGGCAGCAACAGAAGTCTCCAGGCCAGTTCTATTTTCGTTATAAATGTCCAGAAGCTCCTGCCGTTTCTGATCAACGGAGGCATAAAAATCGGCCCGACTCCTTCGGCGGTTGCCCCAAGCACAGGCGCGCTGGTATGCAAAGTACACCACTACCAATGCCAAGAGAAAGCAAAAACGCAGCACTGATGGATTTCGCGAAGGAAGATCTGCACTATCACTCAATCGATCTACTGCACGCTGAAACATCGTCTTTGCATTTTCCTCCTTTTCTTTTTCAAGCGATCGACGGCGCAATTCCTCGGACATCTCGGTCTGCGCCGCATAGGAGGCGTACCTTGCCTGGTGTGCTCGCACCAGCGGTTTGTCTAGCTCCATCCAACTCCCGTCATCACGGCTTTGATACAGGTACTTTCCGGCAGGCGTCACCCTCTCGGTGGCCGGGTCCAGCGCACTCACCTTGGCTATTTCTTCCTCCGAGAGCGCTTCCTCTGGTGCATCGTTCTCCTCTCGTTGCCGCTCAGTCTCCTGGGAAACCGGGCTTGGACGACGGACCTCGGTGCGTGCCTTCGCCCCAGCCGTCCTCATACGCATCCGCTCATACGCACCCTCCTTTATCAGCAGGTTGTACGCCTTGTTCACCTGCTCCATCTTTTCACTATTCCCCGCGGGGGCATCCGGGTGATGCAGGCGCGCAAGCTCACGATAACGTGTTTTGATCTCAGCTTTTGTGGCACCACGGCCGAGCCCCAGCACCGCGAAGGGATCACGGGCCATGACCCGCCGTGTACGTCGCATCGCCCCTGCGCAGCCAAAGACGACAAAACCGCACCCAACCGCTACAACAGCTGGAAACTCCCGCCGCCTGCTTCACACAACTCAAATCCAGACAAGTAGAATCACGCAGGCAGCAGCGAGAGCAACGTGGCCGCCGAACACGAAAACCCGCGAGGCAGCAATCAAATATATGTCCACTGGGCCACTTCGTGCCTTCCAACCCTACGCCTTTGGCAAAGGCAAAAACAAAAGTGAAGCACAAAAATAAAAAGCCTGTGCAGGCACAAAACAGAGAATAGCAACACGCATGTCAGAAACAACAACAAAAAAAACCCCACGGGTCGCCCACATCACAAAACCTCATGTGCACGTGCAAAGAAAGAAACACAAAGCCCAGCTGAAAGCCCATGCTCAAAGAGGACCACCAGTAATAATAGTGAAAAAATCATAATTCAGATTACAACTGTACCTCAAAACCTTCCACCGCACAAGATCAACTCCTCGCACAAAAACAAGTGCAAATTAGGAGAATTCCCTCATTACTAAATACAGCGCATTTTTTTTAAATTAAAAATTAAAACCTTATAAATAATACTCCATGTTGCACAGGCATTAAAACTCCAGCAGCAATAAATTTCAAAGCACTGCCCTACTGCAAAAAAAAAGCAAAAGAGCAAGACCAACACATGCCTACTATTTCTGCTGGTCACCCTGTTGTTGTTGTTGCTGCTCACCCTGATTGCCGTCTGTGCCACTGCTGGAGCCGCTGCTGTTAGCCGCCGCAGCCTGCTGATATTCCGTGCGGCCGCACTCCATAACCGCCTTCTGCAGCTTGTCTGTTTCTGCCGAGAGCTCGTCCTTCGTCACGTTGGGGTTCCCCATCACCTTGCGGAGCTCCGCCAGCAGCGTGCGCACGTTCTCCTTCTCGGCGTCACTCACGTACTTCCACTCCGTCAGCTGGCGCTCCGCCGTGTTCGCCTGCGTCTCGGCGTTGTTGCGCACCTCCACCAGCTCGCGCTTCAGGCGGTCCGACTCCGCGTGCGCCTCAGAATCGCGGATCATGCGCTCAATCTGATCCTTGCTCAGACCGCCATGCGCCGTGAT